CCCTTAATGCCTGATCTTGGAGAGTAGTATCCGATGGTGTAGGCGATCGAAAGCCTTCAACAAATCCAGGTAGGTCACCTTAACGCTTTCTCCAGTGTCAGATGACTCGGTCCGACTGCTACGTGCGATTAGTAAATTTCATGGGCATGGCCGCTGTCGACAGAAGCCATGCTGCTTAGGTGTGATGATGTTAAAGTTTTACAGATAACACAACAGTGCATCGACAACTATGGATTCCATGATATTGGAGAGTTTAGGAAGACGGCATACTAGGCTGTATTTGAAGGGCTCAGTGCTGCTTTTACTTTTGTGAATCGGGGTTAGTATTCCAATCTTCCACATAGCGGGAACTTGGTTCTGGTGTAAACACCGCTGGAAAAACTAATCAGTAGATCTTGTCAGTCTGTTTTCTGCTGCTTCCATTGTCGCTGGTCGAATGTTATCGACACCCGCGATCTGTGTTTGCGTAGAGACGTCAACTTTTGAAATACAGCCTCCGCGGTTGAAGTGATGTGGTTTAATCCGGGCGGAAAGACGACAAAGGCCGGAAGATCTCTTGGTAGCAAGACCCTCTGAAACGTGGGGGGGTGGGGTATTGCATCCGCACCGCGCTTGCTGCCTCCACAGCCGTTCCTTTTCGGCCATCAGCTGTACTGGGTGAAGGAAATCCTTGCCTCACTTTCGTAGGTTATTAACGTGCTGGTACACCCGTTTGTGGTTAGTACTGAAGGCTCTTGTGATGTTCATCTGATATGCAGCTTTTCATTCTCTTAGTAGTTGAGTGCAGTGGTTACGTCGGGCTACGTATTCGTCTAAAGTTTTCGGTGCTGGATGTTCTCCGTACACTCGCTTTGCTGCGTTGTGTGTTGTCATCCATTTTTGAGTTCTACTCCAAACGAAAGAAACTGATATTCACTTATGGTAAACACTTATCTCTGAAGCCTCTGCAATCAGCTGACTAAATTAGTTGACGAACTTGAGCCGGGCGGCTTCCAGGGGTGCTTCGGCAGGGAACGATCAACTTGTAGCGCTGACCAGCTGGGATAATCGATCGTAGATTGTGATGGTTCGCTAAGTCTCATCGTTCTCATTCTGATATTCCGTACAGCAGTGGAAGTTGAAACTGATGACTGCGTGATCACTGCGACCTAACAGGCAGTCTATAACCAACACATCAATCATTTGCTTCTTGTTGGTAAGCACAAGATCCAGCACAGATGGCCTGTTACCTTTTCTGAACTGAGTGGGCAAGGGGATGTGACCGTAAGGGGAAACAGTGGTTACGAAATCATGCAAATCTGCTTTGAATTGTTCTCCGATCGTTGCAAGAGTTTCTACATAAGGTACATTGAAAACAGCCATGGTAAGTACGTGAGTGTATTTTCGCTGTAACTGCATTTTAAAGCAGTTACTTGGTGGCAGTCGGTTTCTGGTGTAGAGCTAGGGGCGGTACACTAAAACAATCAGGCAAGCCTCTCTGCTTTTTACCTACAAGTTGCACCAAAGAAAGTCGAGGAAATGCGAGTTTGAATCTCTCAAAGCTTCACAGTGTAAGTTGCTTCGGTAATACACGATTACCCCTCCTCCTTTTGTGAGCCAGTCTTTCCGCATGAACGACATGCCTGGTAGCGGAACTTCAGTGTCCGTCATTCCCGTGTGCAACCACGTCTCGTGATACCTATGACACCATATGACCCGGATGCTTGGTGATCTTTCAGTTCGGTTAGTTCATTAAAAAGACTCGGGGCATTTGTATAAAAGCAGGCCTTTTTTGGTCCCTAGGAGCCCACAGGGAACAAACAGGTCAAGTGTGGCAGGAGGCAGACCGATAGGTGTTCGGCAGTTATTCGTTTTCTTGATGGGATAATGGTACCTCATCTGAAACTTGCTTCATCCAAGGTGCTTCCCAATCTCCGTCTATACCTGCGTCAGAGTCAAATAAAGCAGCAGTCAAGTTAAGCTTCTGTATCATCGTCGGTAGGCTTGATGCTTTAGGTGCTTTGATATTCAGACTTTGCAAACCTACTGCGACTTTTAATTGAAGTTCAGAAGGAAGGATTTTCCGATTTCCCCGCCATCCATTCAGAAATTCCGTTGCTTGTTGCCCTGACTGAACCAAAAATTTTAAGATTCTAAAGCCGCATTCTCTGTAATTTGCTGAGAGGTGACCTGGTGTAGGATAGCGCCACAGTATTATCCAAAGAAAGTGTTTCACGAATGAACCGCCCATGTTCTAAATCGTGCTTTCCAGCATCTTGAACATCGTTAAAAGGATGTCCTGACACGTCATGTAAGGAGATAGTGTTTAGGCAGTCTTTATTGCTCTATCCCTCTTCGGTGTTTCTTTTTGATTGTCACGCACTCCAAGCTACATCAGGATACATGCATGTCCCACAGGATCCGTATCTTAGCGCGCTTGCGGAGAGCAAAAGACTTTTTAAGTCGGTGGAAGCTTCTAGTGTTACTCGGATAAGTCTGTGTTTACCATAGCTTGACAAGTTCGGATGACGAGTAATTCGTAATAGGTTTATGGGCTTAGCTTTGATACTCATCAGCAGGCACAATGTGTTCCACCGGTTTTGGTCATCCGATAACGTACCCAGCATTGTGATGGCGGTAGATTTGGGGACATTCGAACATACAACAGTTCGGGCACCATTGTTGGCTCTCTTTTTCGTTGATCTACTAGGAAGGGGAAACGTTTGTTATGACCTGCTGACAAGTGTTGATTGTGTACTGTTTGTCCCTCTAATCGCGTTAACGGTGTTTACAACAGAAAACACCGCAAAGGCGACCTCCGGGCTGACTTTTGCAACAATCTCTGCATAACTAACTGACGTTCCGGGGGTCTCTGACTAGGTCAATTCTTACTGGGCTGTAGGATGGGTGTGTAGAGCGCGAGTCTTTCACAGCGTTTTTCATACGGAAGCTTTCGTAGACTAGGTATAATTCTAATTGTGATATGCTGTACCTTCTCCAGCGGCGCACATCTGTCAGGCGAGTGTGTGGTTGCGACGTCATATGAGCGGTCGGCGTGGTCATGCGGTCCGGATGACGGGTTATGCTGACGCATTGGCTGACAAGGTCACAAGGATTGGCGAGTGACTGGAACCTGCTAACTAAATCCGAACACAGCACTGAACGCAGATTGTGGGATCACAGTTTCTCCCACAGTTGCGTTGAGAAACGCCGGATTGGAATAATCTTAGACTTTTTGGAATGCCTCGAGCATTCTTTATCGAATGGTGTCACACAGAAAGGCAATAGGCTCGATTTGAGTAAGTTATCCGCTTGCGCTTAGGACTGTACTCGTAGAAAATAATTCCACCTGTGATGGATGACTGTGTAAGGCTGGTAGATCCTGTTGGAATGAGCGTACAGTGACAACGGTGCGAGAAGATGGAATGAGGATAGACAGGAATAATCCAAATGAACCAGGAACACGCTTACTTAGCAAACGGAACCACTATCTGCTCGGAATGTGGCCTGTCTGTCCACAGAGCAGGTGCACAGCTTACAATCCGCAGATCGCTAACCTGAATCCCAGCCTTCGTCGGTCGTCACACCTCAGGTTTAATATCCGAACCTATGTCTGCAGTAACCTAGCAGAGTCTCATGTTCTGACCTTAGCGGTCTGCTTGCTTAACATCCGCACATGTTTATCTGGCAAACGGAACCACTCTCCGACGTGAATGTGGCTTATCTTTCCACACACCAGTTGTCGTTCGCCGGTAGCACAGCATTCATATGCTCTAACCCCTTGGGGTAGAAGGTCTGCATGTGCATGCTAATCGTAGGTGCTTTCGCGCAACCATTCGCCCGTGGGGGGCTACGGCTTCCAAACTCCTATTCTCAATGGACCGGTAGTAGGCACAGAGCACACAACAGTTTTCTTTCTGGCGTAGTAGCTTGTAAGTCTTGATGGGATCTGACAACTAAACGCGTGTCAACAGGCCTAGGAAATATGCCGACTGGGCGCCTATCTGTTAGAAGGACAGCGCATCAAACAAACCATTCAAATGATCAAATTGGGATTACACAATGCGTTGAAATGGATGGAACACAATTCATGGCCAAGTAGCTTATGCTCCTAAATGTTAACGAGGGAATTAATGTTTGGGCTTTGTCATTTGTAGCGTTAATTTTAATTCATTTTCGAGAACAGTACTTGTTGCCGTGGACAACAGCGCTTAAAGGGAGTTGACGTTGAGAAAGTGTTTCCCTGTCACACCACCACCAGAGCACCCTACTACGTGTTTCTCACAATGAGATTGTTACCATTGGATTTAGTCCTTTCGAGTTATGAACAAAGCTAAATTTATGAAATCCGCCGAATCGAAATTGTAAACATCTTGAAACTAAGAAGATCAGGCAGTTTTCAGGCGGAAGCCTTCTGAGTGAAATGGTGCACGCATTCAAGTAAATAAAAAATTGGATAACTATTTATTCTAGACTACGCGAGGCATGCCCATGGAGGCATAATCAAGCCTACTTTGAAGACTGTATCCGTCTAAACATGGCAACCATGAAACCGCGTCGTTGTATGCATTAATTCTAAGCCTAAATAATAGAACTGCGTGGGGTTCTGAGATCCTGCGGAAAGCCTGCTTCTTTCTTTAGCCGTTAACCCGTTGGTACCTGGTACGCAACAAAGCTGATAGAAAAGTGGTGATAATGTTCCCGAGTCTTTGTTTGTAAAGGGGACGCCACATAACCTTCAGACAAGCTCGTTAACATTACAAAACCAAGTAAGGACCACTTGATGTCGGGCTTGAATGCAATTACAAATTGCAAATGCGACGACGATGAAAGAGACAAAATACCTGCAACTGGCCATGATAATTTACATGACTGGCTTAAAAATGCTAAACACAGACTTCCAGACAGAATTACAAATAAGGATAGGGTAGTACAACCATGTAGCTACGAATGGTCGACGTGCAGTTTGTCGCTTGCAGAGTCCGACCTTTTTGTCATTGTAACATTTATTGCTGTTATCATTACCATCCCCACTGTGGATATATCCAATATGGTTGACGCGAATTTCCGTGCGGCGGATGTCGTTGTGGCGGACGATTCCCTTTCGAATGAGGATGATGGTGATGGGTGCCTAGACTCTCTGTTGGCCTGGTGGTGGGAGTGGGCTTGACGACCGCAGGACGACAGTCTTGGGCACTACCCGCTGTGTAGGGTCTTGCACCTATTAGGTTACCGCTGAAAAGCAAATCGAGTCACAAATTTGAAACAGCTTCATTTGAGTAAATGGTGTAATATCGTGATAATCCTTCTAGTCAAACGAATCCCCTTCCAATCTGGATAATGGTGAATTGGTTATCTACCGGGTGGCTGTTTGCAAACATATTTATAGCATAGAATGATCAAACTGACATCGGAAACTCTCCACAAATTGGCAGTTCTTTATATAGTCGACCAATGCCAAAAACGATAGGCTAGAAAATCAAGTGAAATACACCAAATAGCCAGTATAAATACGCGATTACTAGCTTTTTGATAACCCTGTTCGCCAGTAAGACAGCTACAAGCTTTCCAACCCATGCATCCATTTGGCACACGTTCTTGTAAACTCTTAGATAGTTATTACGGAATGTGAAGTCTAACGAACAACAGTAATGCTTCAGAGTGTGAACTATGACGTCCACTAGGTATAGTGTCATTTAAAAATTATTCGTTTATTAGAGACCGAATAATCGCCAGCCGCATAAGAAGCACGACGCCTGATTCATAAATGAATCATTTCGTTGGGGATAGTTGTGGTTGCTCCTGACACTGCGCTTCACAACTCACTTCATCATTGCTCAGGATTCCCGAGCAGATTTGCTCTGCTCAGCGGGTGCAGCTTGGAACCTAAGGGTCTATGGCAGAAATCTTTACCACTTAATTAGCAGTTACCGGAGGAAACAACTTCCAGCTACGTCAGGAACTGCTCCTAAGTTCGGGAGCACACGAGTGTGCTTGAATGACATCTATATTGGAATACTTGTAGCGGTTGAGGTGTCCAAAACATGTTTCAGAACCTGACAATCCGAATTGAAATTATACTTTTTAGTCGTGTCACACGGCATACCCAAATGTAGCGGTGAAACACGTATTTGTTTCTCATGGTGACTCACGGTGTTGCCGTCACCGAACATTCCAAACGAAACCGGTGGCGCATCATCCGCTTCAACCCGTTGTTCACGTTCCTTCATGATATCCTTGCCGTTATCATGCCTGGGGTTCGAATTTAAGCACACGTGCTGCGGGCAGTAAGTTCCGAACAGTGTGTTCCTCCACGGTAAGTAGACGTGTTCAGTCTCATTCATGGCTGAGAAGTGTACTGTGCAGATAGGTGTTTCTTAACTCCAGCTAACGTGTTGAATGATGACGACAGCGATTACTGCCTAGCCAAAAACAGGCAATTCACCACAAATTGCACCCTTGAAGTTCTTATGTGATCCGATGAACTCCAACTTGCGTGATCAAATGTCTTTGGATGCACAGACGGTTGGTCTTCGGCTTGACAATAATGAGAGCCGCTGGGAAACGACTGGGCATTTCATAAATAAAAGTATAAGAAGTACGCCCGTACGCAATACCGATACTTCGCAGTCGCGCAACCACCACCGGTCACACGTAGGCTAAGGATATTGCGACTGGTCGCCATGCCACTACGCAGGCTCGAACCCGCGCCTTTAGGCTACGGACAGGCATATATATATATATATATATATATATATATATATATATATATATGGATTTACAAAATGTCTTCTTGCACTTATTGATGCTTTCGATTAACACACTTGGTAGCACCAATCGGAAAGCTGGCGCTCATAATGTGATGTGTCTGTGTGGGGAATTCTGTTCTGTCGATTATGCACATTCGCTGGTCTAGTAACCACTCAATGAAAGTGGTAAGGAAACTTGAAATACGGACGATGAACAAAATGAGAGTACTAATATGAAAAACAATTGACATAAGAACCAGGTGAACGGTAAAATCTGTAATTTTGCGTTCTCACCTTGGACCGTAATTGCACACAATTGCAGTATCGTAAACAAAACCCGGTCGGCCACGACAATCTACCACCGCGCATCCAACGTGAGTTGTCGTCGCCCATACCATCTGGAACAAGGAAAAGAAAATGCTACATAGATACATGTATATATACGTGTGTATATAGGCAGTAATTAGCGTGAAACAACCATCAGCTTACTGTTGGCAGGAAGCTGATGGTGTACAAATTCATGGTGCTGTCCACTCAACTATACGGCAGTGAAACCCGGACTATGTACCGGCGGGATGTGCGATATCTCGAGTGGTTCCACCAACACTGTTTGCGACGGATTATGCGCATCGGATGGGGCGACAGAGTTGCAGACACGGAAGTGTTGCGTCGAAATGGAATGTATGCAGTGGACGGCATACTTTTGCTGAGACACTTGAGGTGGTTCGGTCATGGGTGGCGTATGGCTTCGACGCAGATACCGAAGCAGCTATTATATGGTCAGCTTCGTACTGGGAAGCGGCATGTGTGGAAACCAAAGTTTACGTTACCAAGACTTGGTCAAATTGAGTCTAGCAGGTACTAACCTTGATTGCAGGTCATGGGAATAGAAGCCGGTTGATCGGCGTGCATGGCGTGATCTGATCACGAAGGTAGTTGCCGAAGTGCGGGAGAAACACCACATGCATGCAGAGAAGAAGCGGCAAGTGCGGAAGCGGCAAGCGCCGATGGCTTGTACTCCCTCAGCATCGAGCACACGGTGCTGTATCATATGCGGTCGTGTGTGCCTGATTCAGGCTGGCCTAGAGGAGCCTAGGGACCACCACCGAAGCGACGACGGATCCTGCAGATAACGTAGATAGAACTGGCGCAGCATTTGTAGGTACGCTGCATTCGATTTACTAACCGTGTGCTTTCATGCTAAGTCCCTTTATTTCAGGTGGTGGGTTTTAAATTTCGTCCTAATTGTTTTCTTTCTCATATTATTATTATTTGTACTACCTATTAAGTTGCAAACTTGGCTGAAGCTAATTGTAGTTAATTTTGATAACATTGTCCCGTTTGTGGCATTTATTTAAAATATGTTTTCTGACTTCTTGCACTTAAATCGGATTAGTTCGTAATCATTTTTTATACGCTCACTTAGTGAAGTTATATCTCTGTATCTGTATGCACTATACCATTTATTTTAGTTCATCTTGTCGTTTCAAGTGGTTGGCTGTTGCTTGATATCCCTGGTCTAGCTGCGCTTGATGTGCATGTTGACAAGGTACCTACCTGTCTATTACCCACTACCTCGTCCATACTGGTTCCAGGAGACAGCTGGTCGTTGCTGGAGGGGACGGGGTGCACGGTCCTTGTGGTCGTGCTAGGCTCGAAGAGTGGTTCCATGCACTCAGTGTGGAGCGGACTACGGTCCAGCCACCGTCTTGTGTGCGCTTGATTCCCCAAATACAGCGTGTTTGTGTTTGCCTGTGAAGGAGTGTGGGTCGGCTCCGTTGATGAAACTTGGCTCCCATCCACATGCCTCCCGGTCTTATTCCTTCGGGTTAACACTGGATATGTGGTGTGTGGATGGAGCTGTGAGTAGTGAAGCGCAAGCCATCCATTGTTCCTCTATAGGCGCAGACGTCCTATGTCTGGCCACATTGACAGGCAAATCGGAAACCGGATGTCACTATCCATATAGGCAGTTCATCGGACATGTGGGTGTCTTATAGAAACGTGCCGAACACCTTTCACCAGAGTGTTGCTTGAGGATGTTACTCACAGTCTGTGTG